AGCATGGAACCCGTGCCCCTACCCCACCCTTCATGCTAGTAAACCGCATTGGGATAGCAACCTCACATCTGCCGAGCTACCCCGGTGGACAAAAAAGGGGCGGCCCGGGTATCCGCCACAAAGCATACCTCCCTTTAGCCACCACCCCCCGGGAAACGAAAGGGGGTTCCAGAGATCACCCCTCGCCCAAAAGACACCCAAAGCTACTCCGGGGTACCCCAGAGGGTCGGGCATCCCTAGGCAAAACCAGATTCCCCGGCAAACTACGCCCCGCCAAGAAACCTCAACGGAAAAAGGGTGGCCCGGTGTCCTTTCCCCCACCCAGGGAAATAGCGCCTGGGGAGAAACACGAAGGCTAAAAAAAAGGGAAGGGGCAAAAGGGAGGGGTGAGGAGGAGGGGGAGGGAAGGGGGAAAAAGGGGGGATGGGGGGATGGGAAAGGGAGGGGGGGAAAGGGGGGTAAATTAGGTTCGGTTGAGGAAGAAACCGACAGGGCTAATTCTCAGCCAAGAGCCTTTCACCACGCCAAGGGCCCCCCTTGGAAGAAGGGAGGGGAGAAAGAGAGAGAGAGAAGAAAAAGGAGAAAGAGAGAGAGAGAGGGGGAGAGGGGAGAGAGGGGAGATAAGAGAGAGAGAAGAGAAGAGAGAGAAGAGGGGAAAAGAAAGAGAGAAAAAAGAGGAAAAAGAAAGGAAAAAAAGAGAAAAAGAAAAAAGAAAGAAAAAAAAAGAGAGAAAAGAGGAGAAAAAAAAAAAAAAAAGGGGGGGGAAAAGGGGGGGGGGGAGACTGTCGATTAAGAGAAATTACACTGAAAAATGTCTTAGACAAAAAAAATGTGTAAAACTTAACAAGTATTTTTTGTCTCCAACTGAAAAAAAAAATAAGAAAGTAGTTTGGTTGTTGGATATATTTAAATTTAATGACTGTTAAAGCTACAAAAGTTACATACATATTTCTTAATTTAAATTGTGGTTCCCGGGGTATGATTTTTTTGAAGAGAGTGGGGAGGGATGCTGTGGCCCATGGGTTGAGGTGGATGTTTAGGATTGTTTGCCGAGGGGTGGTTGAGGCTCTGGCACTAAGTAATGGTTGTATGGAGCAGTGAGAAAAATTCGTAAAGGGATC